GCACAGCAGTAATTACGTAACCCTGAAAGAAGTAATTATGGGGTGATAAATTTCAACATTTGACACCTACAAATGAAAGTTTTAATGACACTTTAACTCGAATGTTGTTGGTGAATTCAATCATCCCTATGCCTTCCGATCTACTCATTTATTCCACCACCATTTGTATATTATGTGGAAACTGTATGTTGCAGAGTCAAACACTGTGAAGTTATAAAAAATCTCAGGTATGATTCTATCTTCAAGGAGGATATAATTTAGTATATAAAGGCAGATATAAATAGGACTGTAAAATAACATCAACTAAGGAACAAAATAAAATATAATACGTGTCTATGGGAGAACCAATAAGGAGAACCTTTTCTATGGGGGGTGAAGTGAATGCACTGGGCTTTGCTGGAGGGTGACACTTGTACCCTAGAGGGGAAGGACATGCCTACTGGCGAAGGAAGAACACGATTTCATGCACCGAGCAGTGGCACAATTTTATGCACTGTTCTGCAGCTGTGAACCAAAGACAGCTGTAGATCGACCTTGCAAGTAAGAGAAGCAAACAATGAAGGAATGCACACTTAATACAATGTTAGGAAGGGACTGGTACTATAGAGAAAAGTAGTAAAGCTGTCAAAGAGAGATTAATGGATTAGTGTTATTTTCATGGAGTGGTTAAGAAAACCCTTTTATAGGTGGCCTTTTAGCGGAGATCTGACCACATCTAAAGTAATCTATAATATACATGTCTCTGGTATATGAACTCTTCTTCTGTCCTATTTGCAGCATGCGATAGATTCCTGCATTTCAATGTTTTAATTAAAAAATAAAACATAAAGGAGTTGGCTATTAAAACATAATAAAAACTAAGCAGAACAAGTCAGTCAGAGAAAGACCAATTATGATTTCACTCATAGGTGGGGTTTAAGAAACAAAACAAATGAACATAGGGGAAGGGAAGGAAAAATAAGACAAAAACAGTGATAAGATAAATAAGAAAAATAAGATAAAAACCATAAGAGACTCTTAAATGCAGAGAACTGAGGGTTGCTGGAGGGGAGGTGGGGGGGATGGGCTAAATGGGTGATGGGCGTTAAGGAGGGGACTTATTGGGATGAGCGCTGGGGGTTATATGTAAGTGATGAATCTCAATTTAGACTCTTGAAACTAATACTACAGTAGTTGTTAATTAACTTGAACTTAAATACATACATACTTAAAAATAGTAATAAATACCCAAAAAAGACAAAAAGCAGAAATCACCCTCCTACCCCCGTTTTCTAAGCAGCCTGTGAATAGCTAACCCCACTTGTAAATATCTGGAGCAAAAAAGTATTCCAGGCTGAGGAAATAGGGAGTAAACAAGACCTGAGGCCAGAGTTCTTTTGATATATTGGAGAAAATGCAAATGTTGGAGCAACGACAGTGACCGGAAATGGTGTTAGTGAGAGGCCAGATCTTGGAGGGCTCCTGAGTCTTGGGGAGGAATCCATATTCATGATAAATGTGGTGGGAGACCATCAGGGAATTTTGAGCAGGGGTGGGGGACAAGACCTGATCTGTAGTTTTTAGAAGTTCACTAAGCAAGATGATGTAAAATAGGCTCTAAGAGGACAAGAATGGCAGCTGGCAGGCCAGTTAGGGGGCTATCCTAGGATTTCCGGTGAGAAACAAATAGGACTTGGAGGAGAGCAAATATGTGGGAAATGGAGTAATCTCAGACTCTCCTGTCAATTTAGAGACACCTGTAGGCAGTAATTAGCTACCTAACAATGGAATGAAGAAATAGCTCCAGAAAGCGGTTTCTTTGCTCAAATTCATGACTCAGCTTTTCTTTCTTTGAAACATCCCCCTGCATGTCAAAACCACGTGATCACTGTCCCTCAACGTGGCAAGTCCATGTTTGGAATAAGTGAAGTAATTTTGCAACTTAGAAAATACAGCAAAGGAAGTGTGGCATACAAGTAGTACATTTCATGGAGATTTCAAACCTGATTGTATCTAATAATTGTTGTTAATAGTGTGAATTATCTACTTGGTATATTTCCTTCAGACTCTCGGTCAACACGATTTTATGACTTTTGAAACATCAGGCCAGAGAGTAATTTTTTTTTTTTTTTAATTATTAACTGTCCATCCTTTCAGTAACGCCCTCTCCATGCACATCCTTATTTCTTTGTATATTCTTTAGACCAGGCACGATTGAGAAGTTGAAAGGGAGAGACTGTCAAACTCATTAATTTTCTGTGGTGTTTGAATAAGTGGGTTGGCCCCTTAAGTGATTGTGCAGTATTGCTTTTCAGATTGAGGGCTTTCTGTCAGAATGCACCACGTCTCAAAGGAGCAGAGAGCTGCCGAGCTTTTGGGCTGTGCCTTCGGAATGTAATTTGTTTGTTCAACAAAGCGTGGCAGCTAAAACCAATAGCATTGTTTGTTGTTTGGTCTTTCTTATTAGACCCTGTTGTAAAGCTCCGAGGAACGTAGAATGCTAAAATGAATTGAAATGCACTTTCATTTCCCCCTAGATCTTTTTGAACGCAGAGAAAATCCGGCTGGGGAATCTACCGACCGGCTCTTTCTCATCGTCTTCACCCAGCTCCTCAAATTCTCGGCAGGCAGTGTACGAACTGTGTGTCTGCCCCAATGGCAAACTTTACCTTTCTCCAGCGGGACTAGGTTCCACTTGTCAGTCCAGTAGCAGCATCTGCTTGTGGAGCTGAAGTGACTGATTTCTCCTCACACCAGAATAGCCTTTTGTTCCCGTCCGTCTGCTTCACAGTTCTGCTCGGTTTCCCTTGTGATCAGTCCAGAGCTTCTTCGAATGGTCCACAGAGCAACTTGTTCCCATGCAAGCAGGGATTCGCTGCCACCTTCTCTTGTGATTTACTGTACTGCTCAACGCAGAGAGTGTGGGTGACAGAACAGTGGAAAAAAAATCACCTTCCGCGGGAAAACTGGATCATAACTTTTGCTCAAAAGGGAGAAAAACATAGGTGCCTTTGCTACGTGAAGTGAAGCACACAGTTTTAGATTTTTGCAGGACCTGGATATGAACTGCACACATACACATTACATAGATGAAATTCTCAGTATCCAATGGCAAGATGAGATGGTTGACCCTGTCAGAAAACTAATTCGACAGTCTGAAAGCACAATTTTCCAATCATCTTTTTGGATGTAAACTTTTATCCCCGAATTTTAAAATTTTGAAGCATTATATAATGCTTGCTTTACTAAAAATTAAATTCGATACATGATTTTTAACAAAACGAAACAAAACAAGACAGAACCCCACCTTGAGTTTTATTTGTTTCTTTGAATTCAGTGTGTTGTTACTCTTTGTCTACTAAGTCTAGAATTTTGTACATTAGGTAATTTTGAAAGCACTCAGCAATATAATCTTTACAGAATTAACAAAATGCCATTATACTGTCATTTGTCAGATCTGAATGGCCTTATATAGTATTTACTTGGCTTTTGCATGTGACGTATTTGCTTTTAACGAAACATCTAATTTATTCCGATATAAGATAGGATTAAGAGAGATCTACTGATGGTATGGAATCCATAGATTTTTTTTTAATTCACCTGCTATCTTTTACACTAGGTTCTCATAGTACAACTCTTTGTTTTCTCCACTCCCTTTAAATTTGACTCTGACTGCTAAAATTCAACCATATCCTCTAAATAAATTAATACTAATGTGATGCATTATGCCGAGAATGGGTTCACTTTCCATTGGAATATAACCTTCAGAATTATATCTATGTATTCTTTTTTATTGGAGATTAAGATTTAAGGATGGTCGAAAGTAAATTATAACTCCCTGCTTAAACAGTAAAAACTATAAATGTTAACAAATATGTTGAAAATGTGTTTACTCCATTCCATTCCTATTTTAAGGAATTTGGTTGTGTTTCCTTTCAGCTCTTAACATTTGGTTACCTTTATTAGACTGTTAAGCTACCCTGGCATCAGAAATCCTAGTTCCTTCCATTCTCCACTGCTTATTTTTGTAAAGTAGCACGAATAAATAACTCCAGAATAATGCAGATTTGTTGCTCACAGCACTCCTTAACTGGAATTCTTGAAACTTACAGAATCCAAGAACGTAAAATTGTATTTAAGTCTTTCCTATTATGGGAAGATGAGTTGATTAAGGTAAGTCCTTAATTTTCACATGTCAATCAATTTCCTTTTCCCCCATGCACCCGATGGCAGGCGTGTGCAAGCTTCATTCGGGGCTCTGTGACTGTAGATCCTTTGGAAGTCAGGCCTCCACGGCAGCAAAGTGGGGATGGGACCCTGTTGAATAATTTAGCAAAAGTAGGAAAAATTAGGTGATGTAAGCAACAAACTGAACCATTTGGCCAGAATACATACATACCCTTGTTTGGATAACCTAACCTACTGAATGCTTGAAAAAGCTCCATTTTACTAAAATGCATTCTGTACTCAGCAAAAAGTCAGAAAGCTAGCGCACTTTTATCACTTTTTACAATAGAACTTGACTTGTGCTTAGAAGTGATTATAGAAAACTCAGATTCCTATTGAAGTCAGCACTATGCAGTTGCTTACAAAGTCCTATCATAACGTAAGAGTTCAACTTCTGTAAATGAAAACATTAGAATTTAATATGAGAAATTCTCATGCTGGGTTAGCAAGTACACAAAGTATATAACACGAGAAGTTTTGAGAAATTATGGGTGCTAATCACTGTGTTATGGACCTTTTAGGAAAACACTGTGCATTAATTTGGACATATTCAAGTTCTAAACATCCCTCAATTAAAACAATTAGAAAGTTTTTTTAGTCAAATGGTAACAATTCTTTTGATTAGTAATTAGCGCTGTTTCTAATCTCAGCTCTGTCCTCTACTGATCAGTGAGCTGATTTAGGCGGTCTGGGGATATCTCCAGACTCCAGTTTACTCAACTATACGACAAAAGTACTGAGCCAAATGGTCTCTTGAGATTCCTTCCAGCTCTAGCATGTTCTAATTCCAAGAGCAAATATTTTAAGAGGTGGAAGGGCCGCTGAAATGTAAAACTATATGTCATAAGAGGAGAAAAAAGGAAAGAGAATGAGGAGACAAACGGTATAAAATCCAATTCCAGTGACGGGCTGTCCAATTTCGCATTCAAATAGGTTATGAAATGGTATAGACACAATTTGAAATATATGTTAAGAGATTTAGACTAGGTCTGAATTATGTAAAAATATCTGTTTGACTTAGTACAAAAAATTGTGATACAGATGGCTTTTCCTATCCAACACTGAGTGGTTGGTTTAAATTACTCAACTGGCTGTTTTAGATTCCTGAAAATCTAAGTATAGACTCAACCTCAGAGTTTGAGTTTCTATTGAAGGCATAGACGATTGCTCCTAAAAGTCCTTCATTTCCTCATAAATGAAGGCTTGGTTCTTTCCTATTACAGAGTTTCTTTAACTGCAGACTAAACAGATTCATCATATTTCTCCAATAGCATTTTTTTATATGACAACACATATAAATATAGTGCAGTTTACTTAGATGCAGGTTTCATCTTTCCTAAATTTAACTCGGAAAAAAATAATTCCTTTAAGGTGTCCCACATAGATAACAAACTCTGTTTATCCTGGAGAAGGCAGGAAGAGAAGAAGGGAGGAAGGCAGGCCCACAGGCAGGGAGCATACAAGGAAAGAAAGGGATTGACAGTATTCCTAGCATTAAAATTTTTAGCTGGGAATGAATAAACAGCAAGTATTTGAGTTCTGATTCTGGGGCGGTTGAAAGGAGAGAAGCAAAGAAGACACACTATTCTTTGTTCTTTTAGAATATTTAAATGAGACACGCTCAAAAAAATATACTTCCAGATTTCCTGTTTCTTTTGCTCAACCTCTCTAAAATTTCTACCCTGTACTTCTTGGTCCTATCCCCCCCCCCCCTTATTTTATTAGGAACCACAAGCTTGATAGTTTGGTACATAATTATTTATTGAAGGATTTAAGATCAATCTATACTTCGACTTTTACACTAATCAGGAAATCTTAGATTTCAGTCCCCCAAATCTCTGAAAACGGAGCCTGGAGTTTGAGTTCTAGTTCTGCCCCTATCTACTCAAGAAAGGTACTTAAGGAATGTGCTTCGTTATCTCAGCCACAGTTTACTTACCTGTGAGAGTGGTACAGCCAACTAGAAGTTTCCTTTGGTTACTTTCATCTCTAAATTTTACTGATTCACTCAAGAAGAGACTCAGCAATCTTGAGTTCAGTAGCATCGTCTAAACTAGCATTAGTGATCTTCTCTACCTTAACATGTTGGTTCTAAATGTTAAAATGCGGATCTTTCCAGCACCCTGCTCCTTATTCCTTTTTCTATATTCTTTCTTGCTCTTACCTTGTGGACACTAATGTCTCTTTTAGAAATAATGCTTCGTTGACAGGCTTCAGTACTATGGTTGACATTAAATATAAGAAAGAGAATATATTTGGGTCTCATTAACAATGACTGTTTAGGAAATTCATAGAGATATTTACCAAATATTAATACTCTATTGGTCATTCTGTTCCTACTTTATCCCCATCAGACTAAAAAGCACTGGTCTTCTGAAGAAAAGGTAATTTGATCACCAAAGTCAGTTGCTGAATTTGTATAACCATTCAAATTTGCTGCATATTCTACCCTCTGAATTACTCAATTGGACTGTGCCTCATTTCATAAAACTGGTATTGGATGCAATAAAAACTCCTCATGGATTGTGTCACTGCAAACATGGAATCTCTGTGTGAAGCAGCAGTTGGGAGAAGGCTGGAGAGTGTTTAATGCATTTAAGTGCTATATTTTATAACAGTGTCAGTATCCTAATATTAAATTATTAAAATAGCTGAAGATATTTATTGGCCAAATTTTCTATACAGCCATCAAAGCCAAATTCACATTTGAGTTACTTAAGAGTAAGGCCTTACCTTATTCTTCCAGCAGCTTTGGTCTAATTCGAATTATTCATGTGACCATATTTAAAAGATACCTGGAGAACGTATTTTCTCTATGTAGTAGTATATGATAGTAATGTATATTGCATATATTGCATAATATCATTATCACAAAGTAAAATGATATTGTATTTTTATTCTTTTAAAATAATCATAAACTAATGAATGACCTCATTGAACACTGTTATTCATATTGTTTTATACTGCAGTTCATTAGTTATCTAAATATCAAAGACCAAAGACTGGGATTTCTATTGTATTTAGCTCTGTAACCCTGCTGCTTCTACTAATTTATTCAAATGAATAGGAGGGCTTATAATTATAACATGAGGCAGTAAACATCCTCCGTGCAGGATTCTGAGCTGTAGATCATTAATTACCGTTGTGGTTTTGGAAGGAAAATTTTGTTAGTATAGTCCACTTACCTTTTATACATGCATAATAAGCTCCTTGATACTCATAAGACCAGTATATAAAGACTATATCCTAAAATGGGCACCGGATGGATTTACTCAGCGGAGTTTCAACTTTCATTGCTTGGTAAAAATTCTTTGGAGAATGTAATTAATTTGAAATACTTTCAGAACCAGAGGGCTATTTTTTAAGTGTTGATTGAAGCGGTTCCACTCTTTGAGAAAGTCAATGAAAAACATGAAAGGAAATGAGGTATAATGAACTGTGATCATTTATGTTTTTGCAGTCTTAATACCTCATTTGTCTGAATATTTATAAATAAGAGCCAAAC